ATTCACCAAATTTTGGTGCACACAAATTCATAAAAACAACACTACAGGATTTTAAGACACAGATTAACCCCAACTCAGTAATAGTAGGGAACGTCAATACCCCATTGTCTCCATTAGATAGGTCAACAGGGCAGAGAGTAACAGAGAGACATCTGAATTAAACAATACCATATGGACCTTGGACCTAACAGACATCTACCGAATATTCCGCCCAACCACCAAAGAATATACTTTCCATTCAGCACCCCATGGAACTTTCTCCAAAATCAACCATATACTGGGACACAAAACAAACCTCACAAAAAGGTTAAAGCTCAGCAAATACAAAAAGATTGAAATAATTCCATGTATTCTATCAGACCACAATGCAATAAACCTTACAGTTAACACCGGAAGAAGCCCTAATCTCTGCATGAACACATGGAGATTAAACAACACACTCCTGAATGATGAATGGGTCAAAATAGAAATTAAGAAACAAATAAAAGTATTCCTGGAAGTAAATGAAAAGGACAATACAACACAACAAAACCTCTGGGACAAACTGAAAGTGAACCTTAGAGGGAAGGTTATAGCTCTAAGTGCCTACATCAAAAAATCGGAAGGAACACAAACGACTTAACATTGCAACTCAAGACACTTGAAAAGCAACAACAAATGAAACCCAAACCCATGAGACAAGAAGAAATAACAAAAATCAGCAGAAATTAATGAAATCGAAACAAAGAACACAATACAAAGAATCAATGAATCCAAGAACTGGTTCTTTGAAAAGATAAACAAGATTGACAGACCACTAGCCCAGTTAACCAAAAGAAAGAGCACCTGCAAATCCACAAAATTAGAGATGAAAGGGGAAACATCACAACAGACACCAGAAAGATACAGGACATTATAAGGGAATACTTTAAGAACCTATATGCTACTAAATTTGAAAACCTAAAAGAAATGGATGGATATCTAAAGGCATGGAAACCACCAAAACTAAACCAAGAAGAGATTAACAGCTTAAACAGACCCATAACACAAAACGAAATTGAAACAGTAATACAAAACCTCCTGACTAAAAAAAGCCCAGGACTAGATGGATTTACAGCAGAATTCTATCAGACATTTAAAGAAGATCTACATCCAATACTACTTAATTTATTTTAAAAAATAGAAATGGAGGGAGAACTTCCAAATTCCTTTATGAAGCCAGCATCACTCTAATAACAAATCCAGGTAAAGATACAACCAAAAAAGAAAACTATAGGCCCATATCCTTAATGATCATAGATACAAAAATTCTCAATAAGATACTTGCAAACTGCATATAGACACACATCAAAGAAATAATCCACCATGATCAAGTCAGCTTTATCCCAGAGATGTAGGGATGGTTCAATATATGTAAGTCAATAAACATCATAAATCATATAAATGGACTCAAAGCCAAGAACCACATAGTCATCTCAATAGATGCAGAGAAAGCTTTTGACAAAATTCAACATGCATTTATGTTCAAAATCCTAGAGGGAATTGGACTGGAGGGAACATACCTCAACATAGTTAAAATCATATATAACAAACCCCATTCTAAATGGAGAAAAACTGAAACAATTCCCATTGAAATCAGGAACCAGACAAGGCTGTCCACTATCTCCACTTCTCTTTAACATAGTGCTTGAAATTTTTGCAAGAGCAATAAGACAAGAGCAGGAAATTAAAGGAGTAATAATTGGAAAAGAAAAGATCGTATTATCCTTTTTT